TATGAACAATATCACTCACAAACTGATGTTTAAAGTGCAAAAAATTAAATCTCTATGTTTGTATATTTTCCTTTGAGCGAATGGCGTGTGTAAGAAATCATTACAAATTTCAATGAAATATATGTGTGCTAATTTATTCTGGAACATTCTTCGTTACAGTTTGTTCGAGAATCGATCGTAAGAGAACAACTTAATTCTACCCACTTTACATGTAGTAATAAAACCCTTTTCATTAAAAGGTATAAATTTATAAAATCCTTCAAGATGTTTTGTATATGAAGAGTTTTCCTCCAGCTGTTAACTTATTTTAATAAGAGGACAATATGTTTCAACTTTGATTAAGAAAAGTAATGACATAAAACACAAACAGATATAGGAAATCATTATATCATGCAACAGCTATGGTATTTTCCCGATAACAGTTGCCTGATAATTATTTTTGATATCATATTAGTAACCTTATTCTAGTATCAAAAATAAGCCCCGCCTACTTCAACGGACTTTTTCAATAGCTTATATTCTCATTTTTATCAGCCTTTCTAGTCCATATCAGCCTCGACTGATAAAATTGATATCAAAAGACAGTGGCAAAAATAATGAATGCCATGCCGATGGTTTTATTTTACAATATCAAAAGTCTAAACGATATCGACTGTTTAATTGACAAAAATAATATGTATAGCTACTGAAATGTTGCATATTTACTTTTCCTTTTAAGTCTTAAATGATTAAATGTTTGCCTCTATTCTGATCTGTTGTCTGGACAATTGTTATCACCTTGCAAAAATGGAATGTAGTACAAAGGTTTGATGGCTTATCTTGAAAACAATTATTAATAATTGAATTTCATTGAACTTAAAATTTATTGCCCATACATCAGAATCACCCAATAATTTGTCAAAAAATAACTTTTCTCCAATAACATATAACTTTATCCTCAAAGTGATGTCAGAATTTAAATACCTTGAGATGAACGGTAATTATATTATGACGGCATACTTGTTTGACTATGGTTTAGTGTCTGTCGTTACTATCATAAAGATGTCAATCTACATGAATTGTTGTCCTAGTGGTTAACATAGTTACGCTGTAACGCTCTTAACCCAGGGGTAAACCAGATTTTCATAATAGAGAGGACACCTTTCAGGGCGTTTTGTTGACAAGTAAGGACTAAAAATATCTTTTAAAAGTAATTTTCCATTTGATATCGGTCTTAACTTATGTGCAAAAATTCAGATCATTCGACCACTCCGTCTTTGCAGGATGATTATTATTATCTTTGAAATAAAAAAGATCCAACGGTGTGATATGATATTTTTTGCACTGTATTTCTGCACTGAAGCTCGTTATTTCGTCTTTCACGATTGAAAATGCTACTGCGCATAAAAGGGTAGTTTTGTATTATAACATTTTGATTGATCATAAAACTAAGAGGGTAAAACTTTACTTTTATTATTTAACAATTCTTTAATAATGCATGATCCGCATCTTTCCATCGATAAAGATTTTATTTATAGTACATAGATAAAAGGCCGGGTGACATTGGAAGATGGATGTATATTGCAGTATTTTTCTTCTGATGTTTGTCGTCGATTTTTTATTGAATTTAATTTATTTTTTATTTTAGTTCGATTGTGTTGGTAGCTATAAGCTTAGTGACACATTCACGATTTCGTTCCTGGAACCAACCAGTACTAAGTAACGAATGTATACTTTCTTGCTCAAGGAAACAATCAATACTGTTACTGTTCATGTTATATTTACAAATCTATACAAAAATGTTAAAAGACAAATAAAAAATAATAATGATAAAGAAAACATTTATTTTGGATACGAACGCCATTAATGGGATTTGTATGAATTTTTGAACACGATTTATTGGTATTCGATATGATTAATGTTCCTGGAAATTGAACTCAATTGTCAATTTCTAGTCAAATAAGTGTCACCATTTCAAGAAAGATTGGAATTTTATCATGAATGTTTTATGCACATTTTAACTTCACATTCTATCGAATAAATCTTGAATGGTTCTCATGAATCATGCTTAGCAAACAACAAAAGGTCCTGATTTGTTTTACAGTAGTACGCCATGTAATATTAAAATGTTTGTGGTTACCAAGCCAAATGCCGATCATCACATAGTGATCAAGTAACGATAACGTTAAAAGCGGCCTGTCGCTTTTCTGTTTGTTTATAGATATATCGTTTCATATACTTGTCAAATCTAAATAATAATTATGGAAGGTTAAGCAGACGATTCGTTTCTTGATCTTCTACTTTTAAACTTGAACGTAATTGACACGGTACGAGGGCTGTCCGGAAAGTTCGTAGACAAGGCTATAAAATTATTATTAGCAGTCATATTAATATGATGATTAAATATTTTGCTTAAGTATTTATTCTGCTACAAATTTCTAAATTAAAAAACTTGATAAAAGTTGTATTCGCAAATCGCCAATCACCATGGCAACATGATCAACGAATCACGGAGCACTTTGATTTCATGACAATATCTACTCGAATAAAAAGTTGCTGAAAGTTGTAATTTTAACGCAAACTCTTGTTTTAATGTTGTGACATCAAAGGGTACTACTGCTTGATATTTAGTGAAAATTACGACGTCACACACAAAGAAACAACTTGTTTACGACGATTATAGGCAATGAAGTTGCCTTAGTTTTGTGTCGCAAAAATGACGTCAAATTCAAGAACAGAGCAACGTAATGTTATTTAACTTCAAAGCAAGGCTTATAATGATTATAATCTTTACTTGAAAAACAAAATCAACCATAAATTGTTAAGGGCAACTTGTGTTTAATTGTCAAACACGATTAAGAAGCGGTGATGACAGTATTTTGTATAAGAAACGTATCAGATTACCAAAAGTAGCATGGCCGAAATGTCGTAGATAATGATTGCGTTACAACAATCCTTGAAAAAGACAGACTTTTCACACACTGTATGGGAACCAGTGACACCTTTGTTGTTGTTGTTGTTTTTAATGTAGTATATGAAATTAAGAAAGTAATAGCAAGGGAACATAACATGTATAAAGTATACGTCAGACAGGTTCCATGGCTGTTTAAATCAGAAGAATTTGAATAGTGGATAAACATGACATTAAATTGACGCCGTTGACGTTGTCAAAGTGCTCCATGACGATGTATATATGTTGTATGTAAATGCTGTAAAAATACAAACGTAAGTCACAATTCAGTAATTTTTCATAAATGTGTTCGCTAGATATGTACATTTTTGCTGACAAAATTTGTACAACGTATGTATAGTTATACAATAAAAAATGAAGAAGTATATTAACTTTCCGGACATCCCTCGTATAAATGGCTTTTGGGACGCATTTTTGAAGAAGAATTAACAGTGATATGTTGTACTTTTCAAAAATAACATTGCTGGAATTCTTAGATTAAAACAACACAAAATTGTTTTCACAACAAAAAACAAAAAATGAAGGCCGTTTTAAACTTGGTGTAGTGAATTTTAAACGTATGATATCACCAAACTACGAATTGAATTGTTATTAGATGTCTATCGGCATCAACATTATGTTACATTCTTGTTTGAATGATGTGACATAAGTTGGAAAGTGATAAATTATAGATAGTTATAGATTATTTTTTGACTCTTGAACACAAAAGTTTTCTTCTCCTTTCATCAGCAGTTTTACTACGATTAAAACAGTGTTGATAGTAAAACACAAACTTTTATCGTGTTGTCCTATTTGTGCATGAAAAATATGCGTTTCAATAAATAAGGAAGTAAATAAATAAATTGATTAATAAATAAATAAATATAAATCAATGAAATACCTACATTTGTATTGTGAACAATATTCCAAATTGTTGATATACGAGTAAGTCTTAGTAATTGATAAACGTGTACATGTAAATAAATTATAAATTTGTGGTAAATTGCTTGGTTCCCTTCGAAACAGGCCAATTTAATAAATTTATTGTTTTTGAAACACAAAACAAAAAAATACGTTTTGTGTTTTAGAAGATCGTAAGAATGTTGTAAATTATATAATTATGCACTTTTAGTAGGAGGTTCCTGAGGACATGACTATTTTTTTTTATTATGAACACACGACTGTAAGTGGTTTCCAGTACTAATTGAGAAACCTTTGAACATTTTCAAATCATTTTCTTAAATAAACTTCAGGATTGGCTAAAAAATTTCGCCTTTTTACTTTTTTCCTTTTATGTAGAGAGGCTTGTCTTAGCCTAAAGAGATTATGGTATCATAATTATCATGTAATGACAATAATAGTAAATGACTACGTGACATTTATAACTTCAGGAAAAAGCTTCTAAGAAAAACCGTAGGAACAGACTGAAGTTATACTGACATTTATAAGGACAGTTCAGATTGCAATTAACAACGGAGGGAATTATTCATCTTTATACAGACAGTAACTTAAAGTTAGAATAACATGTAAATATTCTTTTAAAATATTATTATCTGGTTACATCCTACTTTTGTCACATTTTATTCTTTGTATGGTTGTTATAATTTCCAAGGTTTTCCTATCACATAACATTTTTTTTTCAAATTCATACTAAACAGATAAAATCACTTTGATTGGCTGAATAACTGATGGATTGATTGATTTTGTATTTGGGCGAATGAGTGCATGCGTGCCTGCGTGCTAGTGCATATCATTTCATAGTTCAGTTTTGATAATTTAACTACCGGGGCCATCGGTGTGAAAAAATCAACATTTGTTTTTCACATTGCACCCTGAGTTGCGCATAATTTTTATTAAAAACGTTTCTATCCGTAAAAATCAGCCTATGCACGCTTTCTTCTTTGTTAAAATGTACAATGTACTTGCATGGACAGTTTTATGAAACACCCCCCTTCCACGTAAAAAAATAAAAGAAAAAACGCATAAATAAAAAACCGTTGAAACACAAGTACAAATATGGTTGATCACACGACAATGGTAAATACTTAAATGCTCCTGATAAGCGGTCGTATATAAGGAGGTGCCCGGGCGCGTGACAGATTAGACAAGAAGCACTTATAATCATGGGTATTTGGTTTGTTCTTGCTTTTGTAGTACTTATAAATAGTGATACGGCATTTGGGTATGTATAAATTGTCTTTTTTCTAAATTGTGATATCGTTTTTCATTTTAACTTAATCGTTTTGTATACTGAATTAATAACCCTATTTATGTAATGGAATGTTGAGAAAAGAAAACAGTTATATCGTTATAAAATAAGAAGATACTTAGTTTCAAGATGAAAATACAGCACATGCAAGTAAAAAGTAATAAAGGGTCAGGTACCTTTAGTAGTAAAAGATAAATTGTCATATTTTAACTGTTCTATCAATAATAAGATTAAAAAAATATATGATATATAAAAGTGTGAAAACTCTTCTTATAAAAGAGAGTCAACTAAAAGTTTTGTCATGACGGGACTGGAAATAAGATTTCAAGATTTATGTTTGATTTGATATAGGTCTAGACCAATAACTTGTGTTCAAAATTTCTAATCATTCGCTCACTCCATGTTGCCAGAATAATTATTTCAATTGTGATAAATGGTCTAAAATTGAAAAGCATCGCATCGCTTTTCACTCAAATAGGACTAACAATGGACAATTCAAATGATTTTCAATGTTCTTCTTAATATATTTCTTAATTATCTTTTACATTGGTTTCTGTTTTAAATGCCCAATCTGATCTATATGGTGGCTGATTTGAGTGATGTTGTTATTTGGCTCCGTCAGGCGAAAGCAGGAAAATACGAAAACGTGATTACTTTGTCGTAATGTCGTTCTTTCGCACCTCGGGGCGTCAGTCGAAATAAAAAAAATATGACAAAGAAATCACTTTGCGAAATTATGGCGTGGCACAAATCATCCACTATATATTGATATACTATATATGAGCTTTTTTGTTTCGCCTTTTCGCCCCCGAAAACACGCTTATACGAATTGGCACGGATCAGATACCTTACATAACGTTATTGGTAGACTAAATACAAGAATCTAAAAAAATAAAAATGACGAGTCTATATCACATTTGTTTTTGGTAAAGTGCGCAACATAATTTGCTTATAACAGCACCGATCCAGATTGGGTTTCGTGCATATTGTTGTTTTTTTATAATAGCTAAATTGATTTTCTTTAAACGAGACGAATAAACCCCAACACAGAAAACGATTTCCGTTTGAGTTAAGTTTCTTCCATAGACGGCATTCTTTTCCAACTGATTCCAACGGCGTAATAATATTAGCAACGTGCACGGATGACTCGACTGTACCAGTTTGGAAAATAAAAGAGTCTTCATTCAAAATCAGTAGCAGTTCAGTTAAGAGTTATCCGTGCAAGTCAAGTAAATGAACTCCATTGAGGTGTTGTGTCATGACGGGACTGAAAATATTTATCTTATAAGATTGATGATCTATTTGATTTAGATCTAGATCAGTAACTTGTGTATAAAATGTTAGATCAGTTGCTCACTTTGTTTTTCCAGAATGGTAGAAATGTCCTAAAATTAAAAAAATATAATATACAATTTATTTCTGAGTGTTATTCTTCACGATAATTTGTATATCTTTTTGTTTTGAGTGCCCCAGACGAACTATGTAAGAAATTCAAATTTCATGCTTTTATTATTTTGGACATCAGTGCAGTTCCTTTAAGTATGACATTAGGTATATTAAGCAAAAAGCTAATCTGTATCGAAACTATTTTTAGATTTTCTTTCGCCGGGAACGTTGTCCTAAAGTCAGGTCGGTTAGGGAAAAAAACATATTAAACAGAAATCAAAAATTTCCGTCACATAATAAACATTTTTGATTGTACTTATTCAGTATGACTCAAGTCCAAATCTACACATGTATTACATGCATATTGCCATTGAAGAGCTGACTTTTATCAGATTGGTCATGCCTTCTGAAAAATGTTTTGATGATATCTAGCATTATAAACGATACAATTGTGTACGTCACATATTTAGACTGGCACATGCAGTTTAGTTTTATTAAGTTATCTGCCAAGGGAGATATTTTTCTCACCTGATTATGCAAGCCTTACAATTTATATGTTTTTTAACATCATAACAATGTTATCAAACATGGTATTATCCGTAGCTTTTGCAGATGTATCAGCTAGGACGCAAAAATATCACAAAGTAAAATAATAAAAAAACTGTTATCATTTGTTTGCTTTGTCCGATGTTCACGCCGATTTTAGCACATTTCTCGGTGGTCAGTCTACCTAACCTAATTTCCCGGGTAACTACCAAGTAATTACCGATGTATTGTGGTCGACTACTATAATATGTACATACCACGGATCCCGCGCATGCATTTTTACCCATCCAGGTGTGTTTTTTTATCATTATCTTTATTGTTAGCCAAATTCTTTTGATGGGATGAGCTGCAGAATACCCGTTAATGTACATTCCATGGTGTATCCAAATTACTAAAACCTTTACATGGACTCTCAGACCACCATTCTTGTACCGTAACAGTTATTGTTTTCACGATGGTACCGAAGGTAACGGATAACACTAAAGAATCAAATATTAAGTAATTTCTAAGAAGTCCTCTTTTTTCTGATTGTTTTATAAACATATATAACGGTAACAGTTATGTCAAGGTACAGAGGTAATGCACTATTCTTTTTATATTGTTTCATAAAGTTATGTGGAGATAATGCGGAACACGCCGTTTTTAATGAATACCATACACACCGTCGGTTTACAAGATCTGTAAATAATCTAAAATGTCATTCTTACTGATAATTCTATACTCCTCTGTCTATGTTAAGCCATTTAGGATCTCTTCTCTAGGTACTACGTGCTTGTAGTTATATAAACTTTAAAGACAAAAAAGACAAAATGACATTACTTTGCGCATTATTCGATCTTTAAAGATTAACCAATGAAAATGATTTTTTTATGTTTATATATTTATATTGCCATTGAAATGTTGATATGTTGCAAAAATTACAACCTTTACATTTAGAGTACGAGTAAAATGTCAGAAGTGCTTGTTACAGAGATGAAGGATTCAACTAAAATGTTTGCTTCTGTCATTATCAGTTTTAAAATTACCTATGAGAGAAATTCACTTGCCTTTTCCACGGTTTGGATTTTTTTTAAGTTTATCATTTCTTTGTATTATTATTGTAGTATTAAGATTAATATACTTATCGCTTTACTCCATGTTCCGAAGACTGCTGAAAATCATTTAGAGGGTATTCTCAATTTTAAAACGCCGGGGATGATTTGCACAACAACGGTAATTCGTCAAAGTTGGCATGGTGGGAAACATACCAGTCCTGAGGGATCACTTTTTTTTGTAGATATTCATTTACGTTTCTGTATGATTGTATCTCTAGACAAAAATGGAACGAACGATAATAAAAAGTAACAGTGCATATGATGCAACAGATCCTGTCATAACACAGCTAGACAATGATGTAAAAAGAGTACGCTTAAATTAGAATTATGTTCTAAACACATTTATTCTGTACACGCTTAACATTTTCATGAAAATGGTCCAAATCAAACGGACAAAGTGGGATATTAGATGTTCATCCATAATATTATGCAAGTTCCAAATCCAAACTGTAATGTTAAAGATTTGACGCTCTGCAGTGCACCACATCTTTATTGGTTTTGTACGTCGATTTAAGCACATTTATTCTTTGAATACTAAACATATGAAAAGGGACAAAGGATGTTTTTTTCTATTTCTGAAGATGTAATATTTATATTTTAGGGACTATTGTACTTCATATAGGACAGAAAATGTAGTAAGATATACGAGTTGCGGTTTTATGTGAGTATGAGCACGCTTTAATCCCTGTTCCCTGTTGATTAAATGAAATATTTCTTTGCTTAAATTTGCCTTCCAAATTACATATTAAACTTTAAGTATATATGCATTTAAGAAAGATAATAATATGGCTTCAGAAATGTATAGCATTTTCTTTTGAACCGGCTGTTTCTTTTACTTATGGTGACATAAATGATTTCCTTATCCCAACTTTTTTTCACTATCCCGCTGCGCGTTTGATCCTTGAGGTATTTTATCTATTGTACTCGAATGAATAAACATGAACGTTGTTCTAACCGAGCATTTTGTAAATCCCAATTTAGATATCTTAGTAGGTGTACAAGGTACAGAACGCAAAGAGTGTCTTATCATGAATGTTGTTCTGGATGGCAAGGCTCCTATTGCTCCACTCGTAAGTATATAATCATTCTTGATTTCACAGAGATAAATAATGGGGTTATTTAAGAAAATGAGTTCAATACTGAATTATACATGTACATACACAACTGTCAAATCTATATTGAACCAGGCGCTAGCCGACTCTATAAGGTTTGTTTGAGTCCAATATAATCGGGATTGGTCTCGACAATGTATAATGACCTCTGTTTTCACATTTATATTGACATTGTAAAGAATTTGTTACTCCAAATGCAATATGGAATTGACTATGAATATGTTGGACTCTGAAAATAAAAATGAGGCTAAAAGAGATACGATATGATTCGAAACGGATGTCATGGACTCTAGAAAAGGTATCATAATGATTTTTATTGCACAATCTCGCTGTGTAAACGATGAGTGTACATTGGTTATATTTTATATAAAATAAGGTTTGTGCTTTCAGTTGTAACAGCTCTCAACGTATATTTCATTTATAATAATAACATTTTATGGTCATCTTATTGTGTCGCAAAAATATTTCATAACAGGTAAAGAAATATATAGATATTAAAGGTAAAGCTTGACCTAATTACCCTTTTAAAATCTTGAATTTAAATATGCCTGCACTGCAAAGAAAACAGTGCGTAAAACAAGAAAGAATTGTAAGCAGTCAAACAAAATACAAACATGTTAAGTATTTAGGAGTTTATTTTATTTCAACCTCATTATGTAAGCAAATGTAATTTATAACCTAGAGAGAAACTTGTTTTAGCTTAAGATCTATGACAATGGTATTTACAAATGGAAGTTGAATTTGTGTTTGATAACGATTTCTAAAAATATTCGTTTTTACTTTTGATCGAATAAATGACTATCCATTTCACTTTCAATATATATTGGTCTCAATTGAAAGGTCAGTTAAACCATAAATAATCTAGTTGATATAATTTAGTATCATATATACCTGGCAATCACGAAATTGTTTCATTGATGTTTTTGGAAGTGTAAGAAAAAATGACCGATATTTCATATCTATACCCAACAGAAAATAAATTGTTCTCAACAAAATATGATAATTCTTCATTACTTAGACTTTTAAATATTTTTTTTCCAAAAAAATATTTTATAAAAATATTAATGATACGTTTATATTATTTTTTCACTGTTTGGAATACTTTTGAAAATGATCCCATGATAGACCAATTTATTTTGATAATTTTATTATTATTATATAATGCAATTAAAATTGTCAAACGTCATTATTTGTTGTTTTTCTTTTGTTTTCTAGCAATATGCTATCAATCTTGTCAAAATGGTGGCACATGTATCAGACCTAATACATGTCAATGTACATCATCATTTAAAGGTCCACACTGTGAAACAAGTAAGAATAACCTTATTGTCAAACACAATCAAACATTGTTTTTTTGTTAGTTTTGCTTCTGAGCAGTAGTCATGACAGTGAACAAAAATGCGATGTTTAATATGTCATTTCTGAAAAACTGGAATAGTCTAGTAGAGCTCAGTCTGAAACTAGACTTTTGTATATCTCGTGACAATACATACAAACATTGCCTTAAAGAGAATTTATTTGTTTTAACGCGTAACGATAAATATTCAAAACTGCTTTCTTTCTACAATGTATATGTTATAACACGTGAACTATTTGAGTTTTAGTAATGTGCATCCTACATTCGTTATCTTTTTGTAAAAAGAGCAAATGAAAACGAAGTGAATATTTGCTGAAATAGCCAAACGTTTATAATTTCATTACAATAGCATACTTCGTCACCTTAGTGCAATTACAATTGTTCACCTATTGAATTTAATGGGAGTTAAGCTGCTACTGCACTAAGGTGACGACTTTGTTGAGTCCTGCTCTCACAGCACATAAGATAAAACATCACTGAGGAATTACGATAAGACTCCAAACGTTATATGTATTATCGGATCTTATTGAAAGTTTATTGTATTGGTTATGATATTGCATAAAATTCTCGAAACAAACACTCATAAAGACGTTTTCGGGAGTTTTCATATAGACATATAGGCAAAATTAAAACTGTTCAATAGAATTTCTTTAAACTTGGCATGATGTTATAATATGATAACAGAAACATTTTAAGAGAAAAAAAAATTGGGGTCACCGTTCCCGTTTTTGAGTTATCTGCCCTTGAATTCTATTAAACAGTTTTAAGTTTGTCTATATGTCTATATGAAAACTCCTGAAAACGTCCTTAAACGTGTAAAGTATTTTAAATACATATATCATAAAATAAAACATTTTTTAATTTTATACGGAAATGCCATCCAAATGTATAACCTTTTGCATGACTATCGTTTCTAAGTTAGCTTATGTTTTGATAAAATTAAGGGAAAAGTGTCCTTTACATTCAGAAATAACGTTACCAACTACGCCAAGTACAACTCCTGCGATAACGACAGTAGAGGCATTGATGGCGACATCAGGGTAAACGTAACGCTTTTGTGAATTGATTTTCTTCAATAAAACTTCTTTAAAGCAAATCTCTGAATAAGAGGCAAATGCTTGATCGTTTCCTTATTACATATAGTAAATAAAGATATTTTTTTTAAGTTTTAATATGCCTGTAAGTTGTACACGTTTATTAGAGTCATATAATGACTATGAATTAAAATGTCTTGTTACAGTAATAGAAGTTGTTATGATGATTAAATCCCAATTGCATGATACAATAATACAATTTGTTTTTAAAAATTCAATTGAGTTGATGATACTTCTTTGAACGTTTGAGTGTTTAAACTTTAGAAGATTTAGCTCTGCTGTGAATAATATCACATAACAAACAAAAACATATCTGAGAAATAAAAATGTTTTCTAATAGCGGAATCAACTTAAAAATGCGGTTATTTTATTCAGTCTTCAAACGTTTAGAAGAACCATCTTCATATTGTTATAATATAATTTTCATTTACTTTCTACATATTGCATGCTAATTTATTCCTTAAAACAGATCACCATGGATGATAAGTGGTAATGAAACTTCCGGTATGTGTTGTTTGAATTATAATCATGGCATTTTCCGCCAAAAAGGCTATTAATTACTGAGGAATAATGTAAAAAATACATGTACTGTCTTATTTGTTAATTGATATTCATTTTGAAACGCCATCAATTGCTCTAATTTCTTTGAACTTTGACTATAAACACAAACCAGAATGAATGGATAAGTGCATTTGTTTCGGCCTACATTTTGTTTGTGAATCTGATCTTGTGTTTTCAAAATTCAATTATTTCGTTCCCCATTAAAAGTGTTTCAATAATGTTATTTGCAAACACCCAATTTGCGTATCCTTCATTGAAAACGGGAAATTTTAAGTCATTTACAATTGTAGTAGAGCCGCTTTCCACCTCTTGTATCAACAAAGTCGACAACTGTGAAACATTCAGCCAGGATATGTGTTCGGGTTATCGGTCATGGGCAATAGAACACTGCAAATTGTACTGCGGACTATGTACAGGTTGTTTTGTTTATACATTTTCTAAAATACTATTTTATATCATTAAAAATAAGAAACTTGCTAATTTATCCCGACTAAGTTGTATCTAAATATGATGAAGGTTATCTTAAGTATTTCTGAATCTTGATTTATATTTTTTTCGTTAAAATTCTTCAAAGAGAATAATGGTAGGTTTAACCTTTTTATTTTTTTGTTGAACCTTTCTTATTCCAGATTTGACATACGAATAGAGTTTAAACAATTCATTTTTTAAGATCTTTAAGAATGTATTTTATAAGAATATATTTGTAAGATATATTGTAAAGTATTTGTTAATTTTGATTCAAAGGGATAGTAAATAAGTCTGTTAGAATGCAATCTATTCGACAGATTGTCAATCTATATTTCTTATAGTTTCTTATTATAAGGCCACAATATTGCAATGTACAGGCACAGTATCTCCTTTCTACAAACATCTTCAAATCAATTTTGAAAGTAACACACATGTGTGAGTACTTCGATTGAGTTATTTCTATATGTTCATGTGTAACGTGTATTACGTGTATAAGCCCATTGTCATACATTGTGGACTGCATGTTCAATGAGGAACATTAGCTTGCACAGGACCGTCTAGGGTTTAATAAAACCGAGCCTGCAGCATTTTCAATTTTGCCGTTTGGATATTGGTCAGGGACTCATTTATTGTGTATTTTCAAAGATAAACATACTGTATTTTGCCAGAATCACCATGTGAAGATAAGATTGACAATTGCAAGGATATTGTGCCAGATATTTGCACATCGGCAGCAAATGTGACATCGGCGAAAGAAAATTGTGCTAAATTCTGCAATCTTTGCGGAAATTGGTGAGCCATATTTTCTTTTTGAATAATTCCGTTGTATATTATTGAATTAAATGACATTTGACAATTTTGTTGATAGTCCTATGGCCGTATAAATTTTCTCGTCAATAGATCTAGATATGTGCATATATGTTGATAGAGACCTCCGTACTAAATATGACTGTTTAACTCTTGAAACGTATAAGTATAAAAGAAACATGCATGTTCAAAACTTCAAGGAATTATAAGTATGTTATATGATGCAGTTATATTTAAAGTATGTTTGGTAAACTATTTATTATTGTTGTAAATAAATAACACATGCATATCATAGGGCCTATCCAAGTAAAAGATTTGGTTGGGAACGTAAAAATACAGAAGATGAAGTTTGGTGATTCAAAAGTGAAAATTTTCATTTATATATCATGGGTTACTAAGAAGACAAAACATATATCCTTCAAAACCCGATTGATAGCATGCTAAACTTATGTATTTTATGATCAGTTATGATACACTCATGCAATTTAATACCTTGTATATTTTCAGATGCTGGAAAATGGAAAAGTCAATTATAGATATTAAGCAGTGAAATAAGTGAATGTCATGTGTTGGCTTATATGTTATTATCAACAAGATATCCATAACATTTTATTGAGTATTTACAAATACATTCAAGAACAAAATATAAACATTTCATCAAATCAAATATTTCCCCTTCAGTTTCTAATTTGACATTATCATCCGTACAATAAAATCTTCCCGGTCAAAAACCAGCTGGCAGTTATATACATCTCTTATTTTGTTAACTTAAACCATGATTATATTAAAGTTTATGTATGTTTATCAGGCCTTTGACATGAGACACGGTAACTCGATTATTGTTATGAAAAAGAGTGTGAAATGATCGGTGTTATATTGACTGGTCGTTAATTCTGACAAAACACATATTTCTCATTTATTATTTATGTTATTTGTGTAGCAGATATATATATAGGCAGTTTCAAGATTAAGTTGAAGTCATGGCAATATTTTCCTACTCTTTTCACTGTCATTAAGGCAAGAAAACAAGGTCTAAAATGTTCAAAAACATTCATCGGACTATACAGCGGGCAAAGCAATAAGGGTTATCATCGAAATTTTTAGTCCTATTAAAATGTAGAAAAAAAAATTTTTTACCCCCGCAGATTAGATTCTTTTAAATTTTTTTTTAAGGGGTTTTCTGAGTGGGAAAAATCCAATTTTTTAAAGAACCCCGAAATGAAAAAAATCATGTAATTTTTTTTGTTTTTTTATTAAAATATCAAAATGTACCCCACAATTACGTTTTTTTAATAAATTATTCAATTCCCCCTGACTCCCAAAACTGCTAAACGTGTTAAAATTTTTAACAATAGCTTTTTTCCATTTTTATGTTACACTATATCTATGAGACCAAGTTTTAAATGTGAAATAAGATAATAATTAATAAAATAACGGAAGTATTTTATTCTCATCATTTATTATTTTCGGGAAATACCACCTTTACTCTATGTTCTCGGTTTTGGCAGCAACTTGGATATATTTTTTAAAATCTGAGTATCAACGTATACAAACTCTATATGAAAATCCTTAGCTGTTAATTAATAATTAATGTTATATATTAAATTATGTCATGTTCATGTCATGAGTTCATGTCATAAAGTCGAGACAGAGAGAGAAAAAATACATATACAAACACTTCCTTTTCATTCCTTTTGTATCATAGTTTGGGATGTTCGTGAAGTACGCGGGCTAACGGGCTAGCAGTCTAGCGGGCTAACAGTATGAACTGAGCGGGCTAGCAGTCTAGCGGGCTAACAGTGTGAACTGGGCGGGCTGGCAGTCTAGCGGGCTAACAGTGTGAACTGGGCGGGCTGGCGGGCCAGCGGGCTAAAATCTAAAAACTTTATTTATTGAACATAAAATGTTATGATACATTACCTGGCAGTGTGAAGTGGGCGGGCTAACAGTGTAGCGGGCTAGCAGTGTGAACTGGGCGGGCTGGCGGGCCAGCGGGCTAAAATCTAAAACTTTATTGATTCAACATGAAAACGTTATGATACATTACCTGGCAGTGTGAAGTGGGCGGGCTAACAGTGTAGCGGGCTAGCAGTGTGAACTTGGCGGGCTGGCGGGCCAGCGGGCTAAAATCTAAAACTTTATTGATTGAACATTAATGCCTCATGATACATTTCCTAGCAGTGTGAATTGGACGGGCTGACAGTGTAAAGGGCTAGCAGTGTGAACTGGGCGGGCTGGCGGGCCAACGGGCTAAAATCTAAAACTTTATTGATTGAACATAAAAATGTTATGATACATTACCTGGCAGTGTGAAGTGGGCGGGCTAACAGTGTAGCGGGCTAACGGTGTGAACTGGGCGGGCTGGCAGGCCAGCGGGCTAAAATCTAAAACTTTATTAATTGAACATAAAAATGTTAATATGATACATTACCTGGCAGTGTGAAGTGGGCGGGCTAACAGTGTAGCGGGCTAGCAGTGTGAACTGGGCGGGCTGGCGGGCCAGCGGGCTAAAATCTAAAACTTTATTGATTCAACATGAAAATATTATGATACAATTACCTGGCAGTGTGAAGTGGGCGGGCTAACAGTGTAGCGGGCTAGCAATGTGAACTTGGCGGGCTGGCGGGCCAGCGGGCTAAAATCTAAAACTTTATTGCTTCAACATGAAAACCTCATGATACATTTCCTAGCAGTGTGAATTGGACGGGCTGACAGTGTAGCGGGCTAGCAGTGTGAACTAGGCGGGCTTGCGGGCAACGGGCTAAAATCTAAAACTTTATTGATTGAACATAAAAATGTTATGATACATTACCTGGCAGTGTGAAGTGGGCGGGCTAACAGTGTAGCGGGCTAGCAGTGTGAACTGGGCGGGCTGGCGGGCCAGCGGGCTAAAATCTAAAACTTTATTGATTCAACATGAAAACGTTATGATACATTACCTGGCAGTGTGAAGTGGGCGGGCTAGCAGTGTAGCGGGCTAGCAGTGTGAACTTGGCGGGCTGGCGGGCCAGCGGGCTAAAATCTAAAACTTTATTCAATTTGATTGAACATTAAAACCTCATGATACATTTCCTAGCAGTGTGAATTGGACGGGCTAACAGTGTAGAGGGCTAACAGTGTGAACTTGACGGGTTTACAGTGTAGCGGGCTAGCAGTGTGAACTTGGCGGGCTGGCGGGCCAGCGGGCTAAAATCTAAAACTTTATTGATTGAACATTAAAACCTCATGATACATTTCCTAGCAGTGTGAATTGGATGGGCTGACAGTGTAGCGGGCTAACAGTGTGAACTGGGCGGGCTGGCGGGCCAGCGGGCTTAAATCTAAAACTATTGATTCAACATTAAAACCTCATGATACATTACCTGGCAGTGTGAAGTGGGCGGGCTAACAGTGTAAAGGGCTAGCAGTGTGAACTGGGCGGGCTGGCGGGCCAACGGGCTAAAATCTAAAACTTTATTGATTGAACATACAAACGTTATGATACATTACCTGGCAGTTTGAAGTGGGCGGGCTAACAGTGTAGCGGACTAGCAATGTGAACTAGGCGGGCTGGCGGGCCAGCGGGCTAAACTTTAATACTTAATTGTATCAACATGAAAACCTCATGATATATATTTCTTAGAAGTGTGACAATATGAAAACCTCATGATACATTTCTAAGAAGTGTGAAGTGGGAGGGCTGGCGTGTTCATGATTCATTAACTGAAGTTTGCGTTTTTTCATCATGGCAAAGAAACAGGCACAGTTATGGACTTACAAAAGGATTAAAACAAAAACCTTTGTATTCGAGCCAACTTGTGGCGAACTGGTTAATATACCGGACTCTCAGTGCAGGGGCAGAGATTGTTCTGGGGTCACTCCTGTCAAATATTCGGTATTAAATTTAAACCATGGTCTCAACCAAGCAGGGATGGTTATGGAACTGGCATCTTTTGTTTTAAGAGCAAAATCTAGACATTTTTAAAACTCCTAATCCCGGCAGGCTGAAACAAACTACAGACATTAACACTTAATTTAAGTGCTTTGACCGAGTATTCTCAGCCTTTGCGAACATCGTAGATCCACATCAGTCGGTGCGCATTCGCGCCGTCTGCCAAGAATCTACACTGTTTACTGCCAACCACTGAGTATGATTCTAGTGTCCAAGCACCGAACATTGTGGAACCTGATCAACCGGCTCTTGTTGGCGCCTATTGATATAACTCAAAAACGAGAACGGTGACCCCAAATTCTTTTTTGCTTAAAATGTTTCTGTTATCATATTTTAACAACATGCCAAGTTTAAAGAAATTCTATTGAACAGTTTTAATTTTGCCTATATGCCTATATGAAAACTCCCGAAAACGTCATTAAGGGTTAAAAATAAAATATCAACCATAAGAGTTTTTTGTCGTCTTTTTATTAATAAAAAGTTTCTGCGCCGATGGCAACAGTTGCTTCTCTGTGATCAAAATTCTGATTTTCATTTTTTCAATACGGGCGTTGACAAGAAAATACAAGAAAATGCGAGTTTGTTATCGTATTATATTTTCAATTTGATAGAACTTATGCTGCGCTTCGCGTGGCTTGCAATAAGTTCCATAAAATTAAAAAAATAAACAATAACCTATACTTATAACAATCTCAAATATTATGCAAAAGTTATTTTTCAAAAAAATATTAAGAAATGTCAAGGAACAGTATATATATATAAAGGTTAATAAACCTTTCGAAAAATTCGAAATTTTTCACGAGCTTATGCATTCTTACTGACAACATGCAACATAAAAATATTTATGAATACATACACAAGCCAACAAAGTTTATGTATAATACATTAGTTCAAACGAGTGAACAAACATGAAAATCAATACATGATAAAACGTTAGATAATTTTCAAAAATATAAAAATGAATTATCAGTTTAATGGATATCTGTAGAAACATTGTGTTTATAATGTAATAAAAGCTAATTAACTATAACAATTAGGTCATTATTAATTTTTGTTCAATATTACTTATACAATTATACGAACAACAAATAAGACAGACAGAAATCACTTTATTTCATATTTGTACTAAATACGACCACGGATTTATATATTTATATATATATATATATAAATCCGTGATACGACATAATAATTATATGTTGTTAAAATGTACATTACATATATGTACATGTATATATTTTAACCTATGATGCATAGCTTTATACATACTTGAAAAAAATTATGATTTTTCATACATCATATTTTGACTACATTTTTAAAATTTTAACCAATATATAACACATAGAAGATAATTCATTAAGGTACTAAAATAAAATATTATATCAACAGAAATTGAGAAATATATCAATTGAAATTTTTTATAATAAATATTTATCATTTGTAATATTGTCATCTTGAAAAACATCTTATCAAGTATTTCTCGACCTCGCCTATAATATCACCAACGGCAATTTGACACCTTCATTGTTTTCCCTTCTTTATCTAACTGGTCAGCAGTTTTCGATAATCCATGTCAGCAGTTTCCTATACATTCTATATCGTCAGCTAATTCGTCAGCAGTTTAGTATCGCCCACGGTCTCCGGTGCCTAACGGTCACTGGCAAAACACGTCGAGTGTGGATACACCCTTTGGTTTCCCTACCCACCACAGCTCACCTCCTGATATTGTAAATTAACAAATGTACTATATAAACCGAATAGTCATAGACTGGTGATATATATTCAATCTGTTTAAAAGTAATAACATAATCCAATTTTTT